TAAGTAACTTCTTGGGAATTTCTTGGGCTGCTGCACAAAAAGGAGTGTGACTTTTTTGCAATAAACTTTGCTTCCCGATTCAGAGTTTATTTTTAACGATTAAAACACTCAATTGTTTGGATCTCATGTTCTTTCTTGTTGGACGAATTCCCATAAAAATACACACCTGAATTTGATACATCATTAAAAATTATTGGACGGAATTTCAATAAGATTAAATCAGAAATTCCTGACTTAAGACCCGAACCATGAAATATTTTTGTTATGTAAGATGAGCGATGACATTCATTCGGAATGCGCTTTGTAGGTTTGATGCACTAACTTCTTCTGCTCACAATTGTATTGTTTTGTGAAATCTCGTAAAATAAAAATTTCGAACGTGACACCTCATTAAAAATTACTGAACGAAGTTTCAGTATAGTACATTTGTATTTATTATTATTACTATTTATTCGGCCAAATTACAAAATACAACAAGCAATTCACACAAAAAAACACAAATAAACAAAACCAGCCCAATACAAGCTAGCCAGGATTGACAAAAGTATAATAAAACACTGTGACTCGAAAGCCAGTCAATCTTAACTTGAATGGTAACAAAAATACATTAAAAAAACATAGATACAAAGTTGAATGAAAAATATGACCCATTAAGTAAGTTATTGATCTAAACAACGAGTGGTTGGTTGTATTGGACGTTGACTCATTGTCTCATTCGGATTGTTGTTCACGATTAATTACAGAATAAAAACTATCCGTCTACTTGCAAGTTCCTGCGAAAGAGGGCGCACTTCATAAACACTGCTCACCGCGCGCCAACTTCTATCCATTCGTGATGTAAACAGAGTTAATGTAACGACCAAACCTCAAAATAAACAAATTTTATTGAAAGTGAATTTCGTCCAATATTTTGCAATGATATTAAGACACAAGAATCTAAAAATTGACAGGAACAAGTATTTTCTTCACTCTTTTTAGTTTCAGTATGTGGTAATAGTTTGTCCTTGTCTCTCAAAACATGAATCGTAAAAATCAAATTTATGTCTTCATACATGATAAAAAAACATTGTTTTGCGCGTAACGGGGACACCAAATTCGATGTCCTGGTTACACGTGAAGTCACTGTTTTTTGTCACAAATATCCTGCATGATTACGCTAAAACAGTTTGAAATTCATTTATTTCATAAACTAATCGGTATGAGTACATACTGATGGAAATTGAGACATTTTGAATGAAATGCCTTGCTGGAGCGCGCACCTTTAATGTTTACTATCCAATGACTGTATGGAATGTGGTTTCTACAAAATGTAATTTGAGCCACCCGACCCTCACAACCAGCCCATCACCCCTGATTAACCTCTGGCATGTCTGGAGTATCTCTCAGGCCCCAAACAGCCGTTAAAACCACAGACATAACCCCATTTGACATTCCATTTTGGTAACAGGGGTGATCGAATAATCCCAATGTATATAGTGCATTTGTACACAAGCCTATGTAAATGTGCACAAGCACACAGGGTTTTCCCGCCAATTTTCAACCCCTCCAGTAGGATCACAAGACTGACACCCCCTCTGAAGGAGGTACTATGGTCCATAATACGATCTGGTGAGAGATGGCCCCGGGTGTGTTTACCACGTGGCCAGGAAAATATAAAACATAAAAATGTGTAGAGTCAATATTCCCTCCTGAATCCAGGTATAATGTTCCATAAAAGCTACTGGTTTCACGTGTAATGGGGAAACCAACCTCTAAATAGGGAAATAATCACTATTTGTGCAAAATATCCATTTGTTTTTGTCTATATGTTACAGAATAATAAGTACATTAAGTTATGGATTTATAGAAATCAGAAATTTTCAAAGAATGCTAACAGATATATGGCACAAAAGGTATTTTGCTTCACATTGTAATGTGACATTTGGGGGACACCATGGTTTACCCTGTTACGCGTGAAACTAGAAACTTATTTGCGCTATATTTCTTAAGCCTGCCTTTGAACATTCAAAAGTTCATAACAGACACAAGCATGGGCGTCGCCAGGATTTTTTTCTAGAGGGGGGCAAAACATTTTTTGCCCAAAAATGCTTGTATTTCTCAACACATTCTCGATTTATCAGTTTTAGAGGGGGGCAGGGACATTTTGCCCCCCCCCCGAACTCATTACAGTTACACCACTTTGTCTTCGCGCCTCTTTATCTTTTCTTTTCTTTTCTTTTCTTTTCTTCCTTTTTTTTTTTTTTTTTGCTTTTCCAGGGGGGGGGGGGGCAAGTGCCCCCCCTTGCCCCCCCCGCGACGCCCATGGACACAAGTATCTTCACTGCTTTATATAATATATAAATTTGTGATGAAAACCAAGAGAAATATGGCACAAATGAGTGACCAGTTTCACTCACGTGTTACATATGAACGGTGTCCATGTTACACGTGGAAAGATTTTTTTGTCATGTAAGAAAAAAACAAGTCCGAAAAAGAAAAATGTATGTTTTAAGTACTAAGATCAACCAGTCCTACAAATTTATACAGTAGTTTTAAGAAAACATATATAACAATGTCACACTTTGGTACCCTTATCTATGGAATGACCCATATACATCAATTAAACATAATGTACGACTGCTCTTTCAGATTGAACGTTTTTTGTGACATGATACTGTTGTTAAAAAGGGTAGATTATTAGAGGTATTATTGTAGGAATCTAGAGTTTACTGTTGATTCATGAATTACGGATTATTGTAAAAAAAATCGATTAATGTACTGTGGAATGAGGTAAAATGGAAAATAAACTGAAAGCGATAATGATGCCAAATGGTACAATATTGTACTTCGGTAAGATTTTGTACCAGGAATAATTTAGAATGTCAACTATTTGACACTTGTCAAACTGATTTTCGAGACAATGGAATTGATAAATCTTGCCATCGTATAACTGGGAATGAACAGTCAACAGATAAAACGGGATAATATTTAGTCTTGAAGATGTTTTATGAAAAAGAATACCACACTACATTGTTATTCTATATTTATTTAAAGACTTAATCACCTAATATATAACAAAAAATATTTACATTAATTATCATCTGCTCTAGAAACACTACTAATTTTACACACAACAAAACACATAAATACGTTCAATTCATTATGTCGAAGCTGGAGTTCCTGCTCAAAAGGGACGACAAGGTTAGAGCACTGGCCATATTTACAACGACTTACTGTCTCTGTACCTGTATTTATTAGAGTATTTAAAAACCGATAGCTATTAAATGTTTCACGCACCCCGAAAAGAGTGATCGATTTACCATTTTTTTTTAAGGCAGCAATCTTTTTGTTTCGTTCCAAATGGGCTTAACCGTTTTACATGACAAGAAAAAGTGCTCAATGTAATCTATTGTACCATGGCAAAATGTACAAATATCTGTATCGCTCTTATTCCTTTTGTAAAGCCAGACTTGCGTCGGGTAACAAATATGTATGATTTTTCGAATAATTGAAAAAGGACTTACTATCAGGACAGCAATAATTGAGCCATTTCCATATTGCATCCCAGACAAAGTTATACCTTTTTCCAGAAAAGTCTCTGTAATAAATCTTACTACATACGCGTTTATTTTATGTTCTGTACATACATGTCACATGACATGTCACACTGAGAGCTCAAGAAAACTCTTCTTGTTTCAATTGATTAATTATTCTTTCAGGCGGAGCATAGACTAACCTCTGACAATTGTGTTTCACAATACCTGTAGTGAATATTTACGCAAGATTTTATTAACTTGTCATAAAGTTTCACTTGCTTAGAACAGCGCTGTGTGAGTCATTATAATTATGACCGCGGCAATTTAAGGTCCGATCGAAAAATGCAAATGACGAGTTGTTGAGCTGTACGCCTGGAATTTTGAACAGATTTTTGGGAATTAACCAAAATATGTTGAAATCTTCATGATATATATTTCATGTGGTTGCCTTGGATGTGTTCAGGAATGTTCAGCGTTTTGTCTCTGGCAATCCTCAGATGACTCGTTAGAGTTAAGAGAAAATAAGGAAGGAAATTCAAGTCTAAGAAGCAAGAGAGGGATGAGAGAGAACAGTTCTTGGCAGAAACCACGTGATGCAGCTGTGGCATTTGCCCTTGACGGGAATCGAACCGAATGGTTGTGCAATGGGAGTACACGGCCACCACCTCAAATGTCCAGACATATACATCTAATACAAACAGCCATGATGCAGAGTCAATCAGCCTCAAAAAAATCCCTAGTTGGATGAGAACCTCGCCGAAACAGACAAGAAACAAAAAGTGGTCAAGCGGATATAGAAAGATTGAGCAAAACGAGCATCCAAGGAAAACAACAAAGTAGCCATGGTTGGGTTCGAACCCTGGAGAAGATGAAAGGAAAGGGAAGTACGTAGCACTATAAGGATGAATCATTTCACATTGCAAAGATGTGAACTGGGTACCGATTGTGTAGTGGCAAGCAAGCACTGCAATGCCAAGCTCCGTTCATAGACATGCTGAGGTGGAAGGCAAGGGGCGTGAATTCACGAAGTCCTGGGATATGAACAAGGTACAAGAGGACAGAGGCAGACCTTGAACCAAGTTACTAAGCTTACAGTCAATCTTGGATGACATCTGTATTTTATCTTTTCTTTGTAATTTTGTAATTTTACTTGGGAAGCTTTTGGGCAAGTTTCTTTAGTGTTCCATCGTAATTAACAACAATGCATTCGCCAAATCCGCTGAAAAATTTCTGATACGTGGTGTATTTCACTCAATTTTATTTTATAATACTTCTCAACAGGGGCGGATCCCGAAATATTTGCGGGGGAATCATGCCCGTCAAATTTGTTTTATTTCCGATTGTTGCAGACAGGCGGACATAATAGACAATTATTAATATTATAATTATTATATGTTTTGTGTGTCAGAGCAGGAAGGGGGTTTCGACCTCCACCCACCCCCACCCCCCCCCCCACACCCCCGCCCTTCTGCATCCGCGCCTGTCTGAACGTGTATTTTTACGGAATTTTTGTCCTTCTTTTGCTTTCCAACGTTGTTATTTACATTAGGAATGTAATACGAATATGTCTCTGTAAATAAATGTTATCCCTTTGTATCATATAATTAGCATAATTGGACATTTGGTTTAAGATTTTGCTTGGCCACCTGCTGGACACGCTCTCTATCGGGACCTTTGTACTGAAGCTCAAGCACGATTAGTATAGGCAGATTCTTGAGATGAGCAGTAAGAGTATCCACTCCAACCACACTGAATGCATTGCCACGAACATCAAGCCACACCAAAAAATGCCCGGCAGGGAAAATGCTGATCAGGTCAGGGACGTCATCATCATTCAGTTCACATGAGTTTAATCTCAACCGACGCAGGGATGGAGGAGCAAGAGGGGCTACACCAGCCAGATGGCCGTGAAGGTTGGTATCGAACACATCTACGTATGTCAACCTATCACAACCAGGCAGTGCATTCGCTAGTCTAATGACGTCATCATACGTTTTATTCCACAGTGCGACTTCCCTAATGATCTGCTTGTATACACGAGACAGAGATCCTAACACACGCTCACTAAGAAGAGACCACGGTCGCATATTCACTATAAGCTCTATTTGATCACAAAGCCTCTCATCCACCCCTGAAGTTGCCAGTATCTCGTCGTCCGCTTTTTCCGACAGGGTGTAAGTGACAGTCACCCGAAATCTCCTGATTGACATGATGTCATCAATCGGTAGTATCTCTTCCAGCAGCTTCAGCCATTCATCCAATCTGCAGTTGATACTTATTTCAGTGTTTACTGTAGTTTCATCATGCAGTAGGCTATCAAATCTCCTCAACGGCGCCAATTCTTCATGCGAATTTACCCTGACTTTTAACTTCTTAAGTTCTACTAGTGGCAGACGGAGACACTGCAAGTAATAGCGCATTGCTAACAGATCCTCCTGACTATCACATTGCGCTTCAGTTGGTCGGTCCAGCTTATCAGCCAGATCGTCACAACCCGACTCAAACAATGATAGGAGCGTCAGTTTCTGCAGTTTAAACCCGTGACGCATTCTTCTGTCCTTACATAGTTTTTGTACGTGCTCGAGGATGAGCGCAGTAGCCTTAGACCCCGATGATATGCCGCATGTAAACCGAAGCAGATATTCCATTGCTTCGACATTGTCTGGATTGATCTGCTTCAACCTTTCATGAAACTCCTCTTCGTTTTCGTGATGCAAATTGGCAAAGTAGTATGCTGCGAAGTATTCTTGCTTAGACTTGTGTAGAAAAGCTACTACTTTCATCTTCTTCAAGCCACTCGTGAAACTTTCTTGTTGAAGGAAACCCAATCGACACCCATCCTCCAAGGCTTTCTCTTCAAATTCCTGTGAGGAGAACACGAGCCTTTCCCCCTTGGTTTTTAGTAACCCATCAAGAGCGACTGGTCCCAGTCCACGCACGATTGATTTCATCAGCGCCACCTGATTCTCACTTTCATCGCAACAGCGACTGACTAGAACCTCAGTAAACTCTGTGTAAAGTTCCGTTAATTTCTCAGGCAATCTTGAAAGATTCTCCCAAACTATGCACATAAAGAGTACAAGGATTGGAACCTGGGTCAGTGTGCGCATCAATGAGCTGGATTTTACGTGTGAAATTAATGATTCACCATTTTTAGCGGCACCTTTTGTAGCAAAGTAGGATGTTATGTATTTCTTTGCAGTGTCGATTGTGAAACCCAACGTTTTAACGTGGGTGTAGCGTGGGTATCCCTTGATGGCAAAGTCAACCATGTGTGGTCGAGTTGATACTAAGACAGTACTGCGTCTCAACACCTTGTTATACAAGATGTCCTTGATCCCATAGCCACCTTCCGGGGCCGGAGAATTGAGAACATGGGATGGAATCTCATCCAATCCGTCCAATAGGAAGGCTGTATCCGCTTCGTTATTTTCAATAACTTTCTTCAAAACTGCTTTCTCGATTTGAGGTAAAATCTGGTCGCGTATGGCCTCAAGGACGCAACTTGTCTGTTGCATTTGCTTCAGTTTTACAGGGAACACAAGTTTGAACTTTGCCATCACGGAATTGGGATCAGTGCTCGCATTTGCAACTCTCAATGAAAGAGTAGACTTGCCAAATCCCGCCCTTCCTGAGAGAAGGACCCTCAGCTTTGTTACTATAACGTCAAGCATCTCTTCAAAAGAGCAAAGGGGCTTTGTTATTACTTTATCTAAATTCCGTGTCCCCTCCGGTAAATGAATGGGTTCTTGTGTAGTCTCATTACCTCCTACGTTCTGAGTGAGTTCTAGTTTAGAAAACCGGTCAATTTCCAAGGTCCTTGAAGGATCCAAAGGGTGTGCAGGAATGGTGCTTGTTACATCCTTGTTGTACTCCATAACAAGCTGCTGGATATTCGTCAGATCAGTAAGGGATGCTATTCCACCAGTAGGCCCTGAAACGAAGTCACAATTAGCAGAAAGTGTAACGAGTTCATAATCACCGGGCCAAATTTCCAAATGTTTGCAGTCACTCTTTAAACAACGTTAATTAATTAATCTCGAATTTGAACTGTACCTGCTATTTTGAGATTTTTCAGAAACCATTCTTTTGCTTTTATCACGCTTATGGTTATTTTGTTTTCCCAACAACCCATTATTCCATTACTTCATTCATGCATCAATGCAAAATAAATGAGTGACGTAGCTTTTGTTTTAGACATGGTGTTCAAAGGGAACGCTTTTTGGCATGCGTAAAAAATGGGGTTTCAGACCTGTAAATCGACACCTAAAGACCTCAAAGATAATTACGACCACTTTTTTTAAAACGTACTCTCCAAGATATTCAGGACACCTATCAAATGAAAGAAATTAGAGTTAATTTAATCGTCAACAATTTCCTACTTATTTTATGAATACAAAGATGATCACCCCTTAAAGTAGTCACGTGGCCTGCGTAAAAAAAAAAACAATTCTAGGACCAATGTCATGATCCGAATTTTATAGAAATACGAGCTGCAGTCCCGTGCATGGCATTAACCAACATTTTTTTACAGAGCTTAAGTTCATGGCCCACAAAATGCTCGAAAAACAACAAGTGGGGGCCTGCCAATTGTGATTTGGCCTGCGTAAGCAGTTGTGGGTCTATATACAGGTCTGCACCGTGCCCATAAAGAGACAACTTACAAGATTTTATCCACTATAAATAGCGCCCCCATAATTGTGTCCATCATATACTGTAATGCAATGGCCTAAAGCTGTACCAAGAAAATTGGTGACACTATCTCTAGCCTGCAGAACTGGAAAAGTAGTAAGGGAGGCGGGCGTACGGGACCAAAATCGAAAAAATCTGCGGCGAGCTTGGGCACGCCGCTCTCGGTTTTGGAAAAATAGGGGAATCCCCAAATCTCCATAAAAAAAAAAAAAAAAAAAAAAAAAAATCCTGACGCCGGGAGAGAGAGAGAAAAAAAAAAAAAAAAAAAAATCCTGACGCCGGGAGTACGGAGCTTTTAAAGGGACATAGGTGAAAAAAAAATGAAAAAATCATCGTAAGAATGAAAAAAATCTGCGTTCGAACGAAAAAAAATCTGCGTTCGAACGAAAAAAATCTGCGTTCGAACGAAAAAAATCTGCGTTCGAACGAAAAAAATCTGCGTTCGAACGAAAAAAATCTGCGTTCGAACGAAAAAAATCTGCGTTCGAACGAAAAAAATCTGCGTTCGAACGAAAAAAATCTGCGTTCGAACGAAAAAAATCTGCGTTCGAACGAAAAAAAATCTGCGTTCGAACGAAAAAAATCTGCGTTCGAACGAAAAAAATCTGCGTTCGAACGAAAAAGCTGTTTGCTGTTTGCTGTAAGCTGTTTGCCCTCCCTGTGCTGCCCCACCACTTATGTGGGTGATTTGGTCATGTTTTTTTCAGGTCCAACATGCATGACATATGTGCCCAATGTAGGTCCGTGGCCCAAGTGCAGGAATTTCAATAACTGGTCTTAAAGCAGTCTATGAGCTTTCAAACGGTCTTACTAGGGCTTGCTGTTAGTTGGTCATGAAGTTTAACCATTGCAATGAAGATCTAGCTAATTGTCCTTCTTTTTTGAAGAGTCCCTATCCTGTTACAATACTAGCTACAACACAACCCCCCCCCACCCCATCAGTCCCACCCATTATGCTATGCTGAGGCAACACACTTATGAGACATTTTTAAAAGTAATTTGCCTTTTTGGTTTCTTTTTATAAAGTGAGGCAAGTTTAAAAAAAATAATTAAAAAGGCTATATAATTATCTTTCTAATTTTTCAGGTAAAACAATATAACTGGTCGTCATTGTGATTTTCAGAAATTTGTCTATCCACAAATCCTTTACAGTATAAATTTTCATTCCTAATCCTTGTAATAGTTCCAAACTTTAGAAGCGACTGACATGTATATATTGTTTGATCATTTCTGGCTTTCAATAAGCCTATTTTACTAGTCCAACACTTGTACATGTACATGTACTTTCTGCTTCCTCACTTTCAGATACGGGATGCACTAATTAGCTGATTCCTACTCATACTCATAGCAATTGACAAACATGTCGGGCTATTCTAATAGCCATGGCTAGCCCGACATGTTTTTGGTGGCCCAGGGATAACCAGTTAAATGTGGAGAAACTGTTGCACTTACAAGAGCATGATATGAGTCACATCATGATTGATACGTTTTACATGTTTGGTACAACAGTTTTCAGGGCAAAGAATGTTTTGACCCACAAAAATCAAAGTGGTGGGGCAGCACAGGGAGGGCAAACAGCTTACAGCAAACAGCTTTTTCGTTCGAACGCAGATTTTTTTCGTTCGAACGCAGATTTTTTTCGTTCGAACGCAGATTTTTTTCGTTCGAACGCAGATTTTTTTCGTTCGAACGCAGATTTTTTTCGTTCGAACGCAGATTTTTTTCGTTCGAACGCAGATTGTTTTCGTTCGAACGAAGATTTTTTTCGTTCGAACGAAGATTTTTTTCGTTCGAACGCAGATTTTTTTCGTTCGAACGCAGATTTTTTTTCGTTCGAACGCAGATTTTTTTCTTTCTAACGAAGATGTTTTCAATTTTTTTTTTCATCTATGTCCCTTTAAAAGCTCCGTACGGGAGAGAGAGAGAGAAAAAAAAAAAAAAAAATCCTGACGCCGGGAGAGAGAGAGAGAAAAAAAAAAAAAAAAAAAAAAAAAAAATCCTGACGCCGGGAGAGAGAGAGAGAGAAAAAAAAAAAAAAAAAATCCTGACGCCGGGAGAGAGAGAGAAAAAAAAAAAAAAAAAAAAAAAAAAAAATCCTGACGCCGGGAGAGAGAGAGAGAGAGAGAGAAAAAAAAAAAAAAAATCCTGACGCCGGGAGAGAGAGAGAAAAAAAAATAAAAAAAATCTGTCGTCGCTAAAATGAGGTGATGTCACCACCACGTGACCTTGAAAAATGTGTGAGTCACCACAACGTGACCTTGAAACGTGTTGAGGCACGATAGAAATTTGGCGTAAACAACATGACCTTGAAAAATGAGGTGAGTCTGATTGCTTATAAATCTAAAGTCTGTCTTCCAAAAAAAATGAGAAAAAAAAATATTATATTTCCTATAATAAATGGAGAGTAATATGTTCAGACCGACCGTCAAAGGATATTCTAAATGGAACAAAGCCACGCTGCGTGATTACGTGCAGCGGTATAATATACCGCACAATGAAAATGTTTCTCTTACTCGTAAAGTTTACATCGAGGGGATAAAACATTATGAAAGTAAATTTAAAAACTTGAGGAAAAAGAAACTTTATGAGCTCAAACAGATTGTAGACGAACAAAATCTAGAATACGTACCGACGGGTTATAAAGGACGAGTTTTGAAAAAAAATTTAATCTCGGCGATTAAAACATACAGACAACCCGAATACTTTACAGAGTCAGCTTTTAGAGAAACGAGAAGGTTTAGAAATTACTACAGAAACTGGGAATTAAACCCCAGACTTTATAACCACGATTTAATCAAGTTTTTTGATTCGCACAAGGAACAAATAGTCAATAAAATCAAGTCAGAATTGAGAGAGCTGAGAGGTTTAAAAATGGAGCTCACAATCAAAATAAAATATGAAAAAACCAAACCGGATGGTACGAGCGATACGATCGAAGCTATTCATTATAGCAAGCCAAAAGCCGTTTTAAATCAAAGTCAAATAAAACAGGCTTTAAGAGAAGAGATCGAAGAGCTATTCAAAAAGGATGAAAGGTATACGAATCAAGGATCGGGTTGGGTTTTAAAAAAGATAATGGCGTTATACATCAACATCAACAGATATAATCCAGCGAGAGGTAGTTCTTACATAAACCTACCCGAACATCTTAAAATTAAACAGGCGATGATCAACATCAAAAACAAAGACGACGAGTGTTTGAGATGGTGTTTGAGAGCTGCTCAAATAATTTAATAATTATTATAATAAAATAATAATTATAATAAAATAATTTATCGATAAACGTATACGGTTATGAGGGTGAGATATATCCATTATACGTGTCTAAAAACTATGGGTCACGAGAGATCGATCTGCTTTTGATTTCTAAAGGTGACAAGCATCACTATTGTTGGATAAAATATTTTACGAGGTTGATGTACGACGTTACCAAACATAAATGTAAGAAATATTTTTGTCGAAGATGTCTATGCCATTTACCAATCAAAACAAATTAGACAGACATATCGCAGATTGTAAGGGTATAGATGCGCATCCATCAAAGATTGTATTTCCTTTGGGTAAACCAAAATACATAGACGGGCAACCGGGCGAAAGAGACGTACCGATATTAGAATTTAAAAACTATAGACACAAACAAAAAGCACCATTTGTCATTTATGCTGACTTTGAATCCATACTACAAACAACAACAACACCCACACAGACACTAACATCTAAACCTACTCACTCAGACAAAGAGACAAACACAAAAAAGATTAACGTTCACAAAGCTAGCGGTTATTCGCTAGTTGTAGTTCGATGCGACGCTAAAAATGTGTATCAAGAGACTTATAGAGGCAAAGACGCTTCAACTAGATTTATAACGACGTTGTTACAATTACAAAGCGATATTAATTGCATATTTGAAAAACCCCAAACCATGAAATTTAACGAGCGAGCTAAAGACCATCATGATAAAACAAACGCGTGTTGGATTTGTGAAAAAGCAATTTATCCCAATTACTCGAGCAACTGTCAGTGCCAGAAGCCCAGAGAACCCAAGACGATAAAACAAAAGAAAGAATATCAGTACAAAAATAGTAAGGGATTTACCGAGTCTAAATGTCTTGACTGTAAAAAGAGAATCAACAAATTTAGAAAGGTGAGAGATCACTGCCACGTCACTGGTAAATATAGGGGTGCTGCACACGCTTATTGTAACCTCAAACTACAAATTAAACCCGGTTGTACACCGATACC